ATTCAGCTACTCAAACCAGAAAGTCAGAAGCCATTTTGTCTCACTCTTCCCCTGTTCTCACATCATGAAACCTGATCAATTTTAACTTCTAAATCTTTCAAAACCACCCTTCTTTTCATCTACATAACCATTTCCCCAAACAAAAAAGTGTTATTTTTCGCATGCATCACTGAAATAGATTCTTAACTGGTCTAACCGCCTTCAAACCAAACTCCACACTACAGCTAGAAGGATTAAAAAAAAAAAAAAAAAAAAAAAAACTAAAAAAAAAAACCAATCGTACAGTGCCAAGCCCTGCTCCATAGCTTGCTATTGCTCTAAAGATAAATACCGAACCTAGCCCCAGTCTTGCCAGTCTTTCCTCTTGTGCCTCATGTTCTTCTCCATGCTCCCTGCACCTCACCACACTGATCTTTTAGTTTCTCAGAGCATTTACTTCCTGCTTCAGGGCCTTTGCACACATCGTTCCTTCATTTATAGCACTGTGAGTTCTGCGCAAGACTAACTCATCCTAGACCTTTTAGTCTCAGGTTAAGCATCACCTCCTCAACAATCATTAATAGATGCTAAACCATTAAAGTAAAAGGCTGGGGGAGGGGGAACTTTAAAACACATGGAGAAGGCTGAGAGCACTTGACCACTGACAAAACTCTCTAAAAGAGCATCATTCACACATCGTACACTTCCTGATGTGAAGCAATAGGAAGGACCTAGAAGCTCCTACCTCCTACGAAGTATTCCTGACAAAAAAACAACGAAACAAGCTTCTAGATCTAACTACTAACTACATGTTTGTAGGAAAACTGGAGAGTAAAGGAATAAGTAATACCAAAAGCAAATAATTACCCAAACCCAGATCACGGGAAATTCTACAGGATCTCTGGTGGCGGAATACGCTTAGGTGGGGAGACCATCATAGAGACTTAAAAAACATAAACCTAACACAGCATGTGGATCTTGTTCATTCAGGTCCTGATTCAAACAAATCATCTGTAAATGCCATTTTTCCCTAAACAATCATGAAATTTTGAGTTATGTACTAGGTTAATTAAGAAACTGTTAATTGTAGTAAAAAGGCACTATGGTAATTTTTTTTTTAAATCCTGATCTGGTAAGATATACATCCTCACACATTTAAAGGTAAAATGACACACTTGTGATATGCTTTAAAATACTGCATTAATGGGGCGCCTGGGTGGCGCAGTCGGTTAAGCGTCCGACTTCAGCCAGGTCACGATCTCACGGTCCGGGAGTTCAAGCCCCGCGTCAGGCTCTGGGCTGATGGCTCAGAGCCTGGAGCCTGTTTCCGATTCTGTGTCTCCCTCTCTCTCTGCCCCTCCCCCATTCATGCTCTGTCTCTCTCTGTCCCAAAAATAAATAAACGTTGAAAAAAAAATTTAAAATATTTCATTAAAGGGGGCACCCGGGTGGCTCAGTGAGTTAAGTGTCCGAATTCACAAGCCCCACGTCAGGCTCTGTGCTAACAGCTTAGCTGTGTCTCCCTCTCTCTTGGCCCTGCCCCACTTGTGCTCTATCAGAAATAAACATTAAAAAAATTTTTTTAAATTTCATTAATGGGGCCCCGTGGTGGCTCAGTCAGTTAAGCATCTGACCCTTGATTTTGGCTCAGGTCACGATCTCACTGTTTGCGGGATGGAGCCCTGCACAGGGTTGTGTGGAGCCTGCTTGGGATTCTCTCCCTCCGCTTTCTGCCCTCCCCCACTCACTCTTGCTCTCCCTCAAGAACATTTTAAACAATATTTCATTAAAACGTTGAGAAAAATAGAAAAAATACTGAATTAGAACAATAGGTTTTACTTTATTAAATGGTATACACCAAATGGAAAGAAATCACAAACATTGTTTATTGCCTGCATCTTGAAAAAACTAGTAGTCTTAGGAAACACTCCAGTTACAAAAAAAAGAATCTACATCACTAATTGGTACTGTTTTGGCTCTCTGGAAGTTTGTTTCTTTACAGCTAATAATAAACCTCAGGAAGGAGTATAAAAAGCTGAAAAGAATTTGCCTACTTTTAAATGAACGAGGGAACAAAGTCCTTTTTGCAGTTTTTTCTTGCTTTCAAAAAAACTCTCCCTGAAACAAAGTGATGGTTGCCAGAAGGGAGGAGGTGGAAGGATGAACAAAATGGGTGAAGGGGAGTGGGCAACACAGGCTTCCAGGAATGGGATGAATAAGGCACACAGATAAAAGGTACAACGGAGGGAATATGGTCAATGGTATTATACTAGCGTTGTATGGTGATATATGGTAGCTGCACCTGTAGCGAGCACAGCATAACATATACAGTTGCCGAACCACTACACTACGCCTAAAAGTAACGCAACACTGTGTGTGAACTATATCTCAAGTTAAAAAAAAAAACAGTAATTAAAAAAAACAAAAGGACTCTTCCTCAAGAGAGAGGTGTTTATTGAAAAGGAAGTCATCCCACCACCTTGGTCTACAACACAGCAGAACTAGGAATAGCCCAGGGCAGGCCAAAATACCCTGGTTTTTCAGTGCATCTCAAGAGTGAAGGACTATCCCACATGGGCCTATACAGCTGACTCACAAGGCGTTTTCATTTCCAGAAACTCACTCCCCTCCCCTCACTGGGTATGTGTACATCAGCTTCCATGATCTGTCTCCAACTTACTCTCTCCGTTCCACCTCGGTTTCCACTTCAAGTTTCCACTTCCACCACTCAGTATCTACCATGATGAATGATGAACTCAGTTTCTTGAATCCGTAAGCCCTTTTATCACTCACCTCCCAGGTATTTTTAGTACTGAGTTTTTCAAACTACAAGTTGGACCCCAGTTGGTCTTAATCCCTCCCCTCTATTAATGAAACAGAACAGAACAGAAAATAAAAGTAAGTAACAAAGGTTAAGTTTTGTTTTGTGGAACCTGCTTCTGTTATTGAAAAAAGCCAACACAACACAGTTAAGCACCTTTGTATCAGGCACTCTTTAAAGCACTTTTTTGCAATAACTTACTTAATCCATACAGAAATCCTATTAGGAAAATATATTATTGTCCACACTTCAGAAGAGGAAACTGAGGGAGAGAAGACACTAGCTTGCTGAAAATCGTGGTCTTAGAGCACAAGCACTCTGGCTGCAGAGCCAGAGCTTAACCATTCATTACCCCTCCTGTGTGTACTGGGTCACAACATAAAACGTTTTTTTTTTTTTTTCTGGGCATCATTGTTAAAAAAGTTGGAAATCCACTGCCTTGGCGCTTGTCCTTTCTCCTCTTCTGTGATCTATTTTCTACTCTTGACAATTCCTATTCTACCCAGGTCAAAAATCACTTCCTTGGTCAAGGCCTTCTGATTCTCCAAGGGAAGATGTCACCAGAGCACCTCTATTACCACTTAGGTTTTTATTTGTGTCCTCTACTGGACTGAAACCAGAGAGGATCGAAATTGTCTTACTCATCTCTCAATGATAATGCAAGCCTGGTTTTACCCTACGTGTAGTCCAAGAGATTCCTACACCTCATCTTCAAATTTCTACCTTTGAAGACAACTGTGATTTTAAGACTGAATTAAAGACTTCTTGTCAGAAGTTAGCAGGAATAATCATTCTTAATTCTTCAAAGCCCTAAGGGCCTCTACTAAACAGTACTGTCTGATTCTCTTTCAACTACATACTTGAAAGTAATAAAAACAACTTAAAAAAAAGATAACAACTACTGTTCTATTCAGATGTTGTTTTAGTTCTTACAAAGTCTGCAAGGCACCTACAAAGGTCAAGTGTGTAGCAAGAGTATACTCCTACATAGTTTGCAAAACAAACAACGGGCCAGGAACAACCTAAAACTCCATCCATGAGGAACTGATGAGGAACAAAATTGTTGTACAAACTCTATACCGCAATAGTGTGCAAATATTTAAAAGAAAGCCTTACATGTATATTGGATGGAAGGTGTCCCTGCTATCATCTTAAAAACGTGAGGCGCATACACAATACGTACAATGTGACCCCACTGTTGTTTAAAAATGTGAGTACTGTAGGAAAAAATCAGGACGGATGTTAACAGCAGCTAGCCTGAGGAGAGAACCCGTTAGGGTTGAACAGTTAAAACTGTACACACTTCTGTATTGTGTGCATTTTTTTTAACTTCAGGCACTTATTTATTTCAAACAACGAGAATGTGTGATCCTAACCGGTACTGTCAAACAAAATACTGTGAAATAAACACTTTTAAACTCAATTGCCTTTTCGTATCAGAGATTCCTGATAGGAGGAGGAGGAGGAGGCAACACCTAAACCAAAAGGTAGTGATACTTCACACCAAAGGCCCCAAGTACGTTTGACAGATACTTGTTCAGCGTGAAGGGGCTTCCTCACCAACACAGAGATTTCCTAATGACCGGGCAGAGCAATAGCATCCTCTCCGGGTGTCGCTGTAAGACAGTGGTTTTCAAACTTCACGGGGTACAAAACTCAGTTGGAGGGTGCGCTGATTAAAATATATATTCCGGAGCCCCATCTCCGGATGTTCTGCTTGGGCGGGTCTGGGTGTGGCCCCAAAACCAGCCTTCTTCAAACAAGCACTCAAGTGCATCGGGCACAGATGGCGCGCAAGCCCTTGAAAGTTACTACCTTCAATTCTTGGGACACCTCAGTGTCACTCTTCCCGCCTCCCTCTGCGCCCATCTCTTTCCTCCAAAGGGCCTCAGTATTTCTCCAGTTTTGCGTCCAGTTAAAAACATCGTCGACCGACGATTTCGATTTCCGACTTGTAAACCAGCCGGCCGAACTGCAGCAAGCACGTCAGTCTACCTCCATTTTTACCTTCCGCGGGGCCTCAAGGCAGAACCCTTCCCCCACCAGCCCTTCTTCCGCCCGCGCCGCCACCCACGCCTCAAGCTCCACCCGCCCGCTGCCCCGGCTCCGAGGCCCGCCGAACTGGCCGTACCGCCGCCCGCTCCCCGCCTCCCGGCCCCCAGCCGCCCGGGACCCGGCCGCTGAAACCCAAGAGCCACACCTTACGGCCGCTCCATGAGTCGCTCCCCCGCCGAGCCCGGGGGGGAGGGGGCGTCAGTCTCAGGCCCTAAGGCCTCAGCAGCATTTTGAAACGGCGAGTAGTGAGGGCGCAACTTCCGGCCTCCTGAACCCATCTCACACCAGGGCTTCCGGTGAGGCCTCCGGAAACCATAGAGACGCCACTGGAGGGCTAGAGAGGCAGAAAGACTGCGGTCTCCCCACCATAGAGTAGAGGCCAGTCCGGGGAGAGAGTCGCAGGACTTGGAGGACTAAGTTGTGAGGTTTCAAGAGAAAACGTTTGAGGAGCTCGCAGAGTCTGATGGTATTTACAGATGTGTCCTAGGACATCAAAAATCGAGGATGGAAGAAACCTAATAGCGTAGTCAGAGGAAGCCTTCCGCTCTTCCAAAAAACACCACTCCCTCTGTTTCTCAAAGTTAACGTATTCATTCTTATTCCCCAGAGATAGTGGCTGCAGAGGGCAAACAGCATCTTAGTGTTGTCGCTAATTGGGGGAAATAGAACTAGGATATACACGAATAACAACAAGATATGTGATAAATGCTGGAAGAGGTGCAAAGAACGAGGGAGGTGGAGCTTCTTTGGATCAGCAACCCGGTCATCGAGTCCCAATATAAAAGCTCCTGCCACAAACCTCTCAGGTTGGCCGACTTCCACCTCAGAAGGTGCCAAATGGTATTGTCTCTCCCAAATACCTCCTCTCATTGATTTCAGGATGATTCTAAATATTAGAGGATTTTCTGAGCTGAAGTATGTTACTTTGCAGTTTCCGTTGGTTTCATTTCTACACTTGGGAGACATAGAGTAAGGCTTCATTCATTCTTTACCATATGAATACTGTTCAGTCATTTGAAGACAGTTACCATGTCCCATCTCTAACCCTGTGCCTTGTTCTTCTGCAAGCTAAAAATCTCACAGCCTTCAACTATTTCTTACTTGACATGGCTTCAAGCCACCCTGGTCACCATCTTCTGAACAAGCACCTGTTTGTTCAGTTTAAAATATGGTTCCCAGAGAACTGGGTACAAACCCATGCTAAATAAAATAGGGCAATGTCCCCCCCCCCCCCTTAATTTGCACATTGCACCTTGCTCTATTTCTGGCATAACCTTACGGCAGAGCTGGAGATCCAGATCTCTGCAAATGAGCCGAAAAAGTAATGCCTTTTCACAGTTGCTCTGAAAGAGCTTGAAGTCAGCAACCACCTCTCTCAAAAATTAGAGGGGAGGGGCTTTTTTAGGTGAACCAGTCTCCACTGTTTCCCCTCTCTTTTTATGCAATCAATTTGAGTGCTTTTTTGGTGTAATTCCCAAACAGGAGTTTGTTTTGTATCTTTCAAATAGTATCCGGTTAGTTTAGGTCTCTCCCTATTGCCTCCTGGACTCTTGGAATTATGATCCTGTCATGCAATTCATTTTGTTTAAGATAAACATTTGTTGAACACCTACCGTGTGCCAAACACCAACCTAGAAGATTCCAAAACACGTAACACCTGGAATCTGTCTAGTGGAGGACTCAGACCGTCCAGGTAAGGAGAATGTGGGTCTACAGCCATACCGCCCTGAACGTTCCCAGTCTCGTCTGATCTCAAAAGCTAAGCAGGGTCACGCCTGGTTAGTACTTGGGTGGGAGAATGTGGTAAGTGCAATGCTTGATGAGCTGCACTTAACCATGCCTGGAAGGTTGAGAGGGATTAGTTCTTTTCCTTTTACATTTTGCAAAAATTTTGATTAAGATCGTTAACGTGTCTTCACTGAAAGTCTTGATAAATACGCTGAATAGGACATGGTTAAGAATAGAGCTTTTCCTGTCATGGTTGATATTAATTCGTGATTGATCATTCATCCTTGAATGTTGTTCTTAAACCACAAATGATTCTGCCTACTAGTGGTCAATATCTGGACACATTTTGCTACCCTTTCCCAAGGACTTCATAAAACTTCATCACATGACTTGCTCTAATGAAAATAAGCCATAACTATAGCATTTCTTCTGCTCGTCAAATGCACTTAAAAAGAAAATTAAATTAGCTTAAGCTCATAACTAACTCAGCGATCCTCACTTCCTTCCCTAAGAACTATACTCAAAAACTGTTTATTTAATAAAGAGACAGGAAACCTGGGTTTAGTCTAGCTATTTCTAGAAACCAGAAAGTTACACAGTTCTACAGTTTCCCAGTCTGTGAATAAAATGGCTAAATGAGATGATTTTTCTAGAGCCCCTGGTAGTTCTAAAGGAATTGGAAGTCAGTGTTATTATAGCCTTTCTTAAAAATTCATAATGAGCTACTTCACACATACAAAAAAAAGTATAAAGAAGAATCTAATCTTTTCCCCGTAACTCTTCCTTTTTTTTTTTTTCTTTTTTAATTGTTTACTAATTTTTGAGCAACAGAGTGCGAGCAGGGAGGGGCAGGGAGAGAGGGAGACACAGAATCCGAAGCAGGGTCCGGGCTCTGTGCTGTCATGACCCGAGCCGAAGTTGGACACTGAACTGACTGAGCCACCTGGGCCCCCCCCCCCACTTTTCCTAAAGAACGATACTTTACCTGTTACAAAAGGTTTCCTATAGTAGTCCCATCTCCCTCCTTCAACTCCATAGGGAACCACTATTCTGAATTTGGTATTTACCCCTGCCATGCACTTCTTTAGACCTTTAGGATTTATATATGTATATATTCCCTCAGAATTTTATGCTTTTAAAATCTTTGTAAATGACATCAAACTGTACGTATTCTGCAACTTGCATTTTTTCCTCATTGTTGTGAAGTTCCACCATGTTGAATCACATATGGTTAGTTAATTTTCAATATTGTGGAGTAATACTGTATCGTAATATATTAAATTGTAGAATTAATTGTTATACAGTAAGTGTGCTTCTCTAGAGCTGTCATCACAGAATACCACAGACTGGATGACTTAAACAACAGAACTTTGTTTTCTCACAGTTCTGGGTGCTAGAAGTACAAGATCAAGGTGTTGGCAGATTTGGTTTCTTCTGATACCTCTCCTTGGCCTGCACATGGCTGCCTTCTTGCTTTGTCCTCACCCCTCGGTCTGTAAGTTGTCTGTGCCCTGATCTCTTATAAGGCCACCAGCCATAATGCATTAGGGCCCACTCCCATGACCTCATTTTACCTTAATCACCTCCGTAAAAGGCCTGTCTCCAAATAGAGTCACATTCTGAGATGCTCAGGGGGTAGGACTTCCACACATTAATGGGTGGGGGGCACAATTCAGCCCATAATTGTAATGATCATACCACAATTTTTTATTCACCTCCTCCTTTGATAAATACTAAGGTGTTTCCAGTCGTTTACTGTTACAAACAGTGCTGCCATCGACATTCTTGTACTTGTGAACTCCAGGGAGTAGAATCATTGGGTCACAAACACATTGTCAATGCTGTCAGATCATAACACAGTGCTCTCCAAAGTGGTTGTGGGAATATACACTCCTCACGAATGTGTATAGGAGTCTCTTGGTCCATATTTTCACCAACCCTTGGTATTGTCAGACTATTAAAAAAACGAATCTGATAGATGTGAGAATTTCTCATGGTGGTTTGAATTCTATTTCCATGATTAAGAGTAAGGCCGAGCATTTTTTCGTATATATTGACTACAGTTACTCACCTATGAATTGCCTGTGCATATCTTTTGCCCATTTTTCTATTGGTTAGCCTTTTCCTTGTCCATTTGTAGGAGTTCTGTATATAATCTGGACATTAATCCTTCTTGATTATTATGTATTACCAATCTTCAAATCTATACCTTGTTTTCAGTTTTTTAATGTTGTCTTTTGATGAACAGAAATTTTTTTTCAGAAGTTTTTTTAATGAAGTCAGATTTATTAGCTATTTTCTTTATGTTTCACTTCCTTTTTTTTTTTTTTTAAAGAGATTCCTCCCTGTTAGGGGGTCATAAAGATACTCATATATTTTCTCCTAAAAGTTCTAAAGATGTCCTTTTCACATATAAGCCCTTAGCTCATTTGCAAGTGATTTTTGTGTATGTTGTAACATGGAGATCCAATTTTACTTTTTCAATTTGAAGAATAAATACACGTCTCTATTACTGAATCTGTAAACTGAATGTGAGTCTATCTATAGTCTCTTGAATTCATCTTTTCTTCCTAGTTAACACAATCATTGAAGATTTTGTGGAAGAGGTTTCATTTGAGTGGGACCTTAAAAAATTGAATAGGATTTTGAGAGGTGCCTGGGTGGCTCAGTCGGATAAGCGTCCAACTTTGGCTCAGGTCATGATCTCACAGTTCATGGGTTCAAGCCCCGCATCAGGCTCTGCATTGACAGCTCAGAGCCTGGAGTCGGCTTCCCATTCTGTGTCTCCCTCTCTCTCTGGCCCTCCACCTCTCATCTCTCTCTCTCTCTCTCTCTCTCTCTCTCTCAAAAATAAATAAACATTAAAAAGAAACTTTAAAAAAATGAATAGGATTTCAGGAGGTGTAAATAGGAGAAGTCATTTGAAGAAACATGGCACAAATAATGAGGAAAGAAAGAGATGAATTGGAAGGTATGATCTTAAAACTGGAAGAATCTACTTTGATCAAAGTGTTGGTTACTGAGTAAATGATTGGCATGGTATCGAATCACACTGTCTCATATAATATTCACCAGCCACATGTGGCTTGAAATTTGGCTAGTCCAAATTGAGATGTGCAATGAGTGTAAAATACACATTATATGTCAAAGACTTAGTGTGAAAAATACTATATCTTATTTATAATGTTTTATATTTTTAATATTTATTTATTTATTTTAATGTTTATTTTTTGAGAGAGAAATAAAGACAGAACATGAGCGGGGAAGGGGCAGAAAGAGAGGGAGACACAGAATCCGAAGCAGGCTCCAGGGCTCTGAGCTGTCAGCACAGAGCCCGACGCAGAGCGTGACCCTAGTAAGTGTCAGATTATCATGACCTGAGCCGAAGTCAGACGCTTAACCAACTGAGCCATCCAGGCGCACCAATAATGTTTCATATTGATTACATATCAAAATGATAATATTTTGAAATATTGGGTTGAATAAAATATATTATAAAAATGAATTTCATCTGTTTCTTTTTA